CAATGTACACAAGGTTGTCATGAGGCACAGTGACAAGACAGCAACCTAAAATGACAAGTCTACTTCCGATTAAAAAAATTTGAAGACAAAAAAAAAACACTTTTTTTCCCATCTTTGTTTGCCTCTAAGACCTGGGCACATGATCCAATCTCCACCAATAAGATGCAACCACCCTAGACTCCAGTAGAAAATATGAGCAGGAACTCTACAGCATATACCCAGTGAGGACGGCTGCAGTGGGAGTCATTGAGTTTCCAGAGAGGGCAGAGACTGATTCTTATGGTAGCATCAGTGGTGCTGCGAGCACATGCAGCAAAGTCTGTGCCCAGCAGAAGCACAGAGGTATCTTCATGAGACCAAATTTATGATATGACCTTGAGCTTTTATTCTTGGCAGCAGGCCTATAAGCCGACTTTCCCAACCTTCTTAGAGCGTCTGTGAGTCAACTGTCCTTGGAATAAATTGAGTTGGTTTCTATTGCTTGAAACTAAGAAATATGACAGATGCAGTTTCTGACCTGAAGTCACTGGCCCAGAAAGATGGAGCAAAAAGAAAGATTCCTAAAAAAGTTCATGCAGTCCAAGAATAAGAGTAGTATTTCTGATGATCAGCAAGGCAAGAATGAAGACGCACTCGAGAACAGAAGAACCATGCCTTGATGCACAGGTAATGATATTTTTAAAGGTAAACTTGGTCAAAAAAATTTTACAGATGAAGACTTTTTCAACTTAAGAATATCCAGATAACTGAACAGGAAAAAAGAAAGTAAAAATAAATCTTTGAAGAGATTTCCATAGAAAAGAGAAAGGTCTGTGATACAGAAAGAACAAACAGGGGTGTTCAAGGGTGCTGAGAGCATTCTATTTCTAAACCTCTGTAGTACTTGTGTGGATATTTGCTTTACAAGTCATTTAACTATTGTTATTGTTAAGTGCCAATGCATCAATTCTGATGCATAGCAACCCTTTATAGGGTTTCCAAGGAGCAGCTGGTGAGCTTGAACCACCGACCTTGCAGTTCAAAGGACTATGCAGTCTGACGCATTAGGCCACAGCACCACACCAGGATTAGTGTGACGCTGTGGGCTAATGCATCAGACCGCAAAGTCATTTGAACTGCAAGGTCAGTGGTTCAGGCTCACCAGCTGCTCCTTGGGAACCCTATACAGGATCCCTATGGGTCGGAATCAACTCAATGGCACTTAACAACATTTAACTATAGTTTGTTTTATATTTTTTTCTGTAGTCATTGTCCTATCTTTCTCAAAAAAAAAAAAGAATTAAAAAATGAATCCCACAATTGACAAAAATTGGGGAAGTTTTAAATGCTAAGTAATAGAAACCAATCTTTTAAATCATATATATTTTTAGTTCAACTATACAACTTTTTGGGAAAGGCAAACTATGAGGAAAGTATAAAAAAATCAGTGGTATCCAGAGGTTCTGGTAGAAAGGAGAGATCTGTGGGTGAATACAGGGCATTTTTAGGGAAGTGAAACTATTACGTAGGAGACTGTAATAGAAGATACATAACTTTATGCATTTGCCAAAACCCACAGACTACAAAGA